AGGTTGGAGACTTACCTGTTCTCTTCTCTCTCTCTCTCTCTCTCTCTCTCTCTCTCTCTCTCTCTCTCTCTCTCTCTCTCTCTCTCTCTCTCTCACGCGGAGCGACATTTGCATCTGACAGCTCCTTAGTCCATACTCACACCGGGATTTCTTTTCAATGTATCTGTCCGTCGCGGTGTATCTTCCTATGTTCTTGCGGAAGATTCCTTCTCATTTTGCACATTGCCAGGTTGTGCAGTTGATGCACACATGGAAAAAAAAAAAAAAAGTGAGGCAGTGTATACTTCCATGTGGCTGAAGATTCGTCCCGATTTTTCTCATCCTACACACACACGCACACACAGATCGACATCGCCACGCTTCCTGCCGTGTATAGACAGGATTGGAGCGCGGCTTCGCCTCACTGGGTCCACTTGGGTTTTCTAATAAACGACAACTTTCTCCAGGCTATGTCCTTGAAATGTCTGAAAAACTAAAAAAAAAGGGTAATTCTTTGAAGCCCGACCAATTTTGAATTACCTGTCGAATCCAGACAGGATGGCCTTTCAGGCCTTTTTTATTGTCATTATAGTATGACGGGGAACCCCGTAGTAGCCACATTTGTGCTCAAGCCTCCAACGAGGGAGCATGCGGGAGCTGCACCCACCAGCAGGTGGGTGATACCGGCCAGGGTCAGCCGTCAGCATCAGGACCGATCTTCTTCGATGGGCCAGTCGCTGTGACTCCCCTCCGGTCCCCTTCGGTTCCCTCCCCCTACGAACATCAGCAGTCTCCGCTCAATGTCGCTCTGGGGAACCAACGGCCTATCTCTCTAGGTGCCGGCCACCGAGCTTGCCCAGGGAGGTCCTCCTCAATGAGGCCAATGGGAATTGAACCCAAGAACTCCTTGATGGCACTTGCATGCCCTACCAGCTGCGCTAGGCACATGGGAGAAAAAAAAAAAAAAAAAGACCAAGCAGAAAATCCCTGAAAGTCACAAAATTTTTCAAGGACCCGTCCTTGAGTTTTAACGATCTTCGAGGAGTATCTAACGAGACCCGCAGAGGGGTTCAAAGAAGGAGGAAAATCAAAAAAGAGGAAAAAAAAAAGAAAGAGGTTACTACGGTGCAGTCACTATTTCATGTTTTAAATGCACTTCCATCATAACACACCCCCAGTTGACCCTACCGGACCCAAATCCTGGCTTGTATACATCCCACAATTTCGGGCACTTGGGCTAGACTACATTTAAACCACAAGTACTTGGCCCATATGTCGACCGTGGGGCATTGTCATTAACGCCCCGCAAGTTTCGGAGGTACCGGAAGTGACAGGCTGACACCGCCAGCCAAAACAATTGTTTTTTGTTTCGCTGGCGGGTCGGCGTGAAACGGCGCGCAGGGCATATTCAGGCTCGGCATCCATAGCTGGGCCAAGTACTGGTGGTTTAAAACTTGAAACCCTGACCGCCCCGCAATTATTTAAAAAAGAAAAGCATGGCCCTAGATGACACCCATAAATCGGGAATGGTCCAATTTTATTAAAAACAAGTCGTACCTGCCGCGGCTTCGGGCGGGGAGGAGATGAAATCATGAAACTCAAAGGAGGGCCATGTCATGGGACCGGGCGGTAAAGTGAACATCTCGCGCCCCCCCCCAGAAAAAAGGGCTGAGCCCAACCTGAACACACCAGCTACCAACTGGAGTAGCTCAGGGCATACTCACACAGCACTTTTTTGTGGCCAGATGCATATACGTCCGGCCGTAAATGCAGCCGGGTGCGTTTAAGATAGAGGTAGTGTTAGTACGCCCTCAGTTGGTACACCCCTGAATGGTTGAAATACAGACCCGAGTTCGAACTCCACCTCGGTAGATAAGCAAGCCGCATTTGCCGGCACACACGGTGAATAGCAGGAGAGTCAAATTGCCAGTCTGAGGGCCTCGCTACTACTCACCAAATATGCAAAATGAGAATGAATCTTCTCCTACAACATGGGACAACACAGAGCCATATTTTTGTCTTTTGTAACGTGGTGGCATATCTTTCCATGTTCAAGGCTATGATTCATTCTTTCTTTCTTTTTTTTTATAACTAATCTATATTCTTCTCTCAATCTTGTTTGTGTACATATTCCTCATCTATCTCATCCTCTGGCTACTCTATGTATAATACACAGGGGAACACCAACCGACCCTGGAACTCTCCCCAGCCCACGGGCCCACAGGGTAGGTTGGCACCACAGCTGTGGTGCGAGAGCAAGGCTTGTATCAGCCCCTCATCACGATGAAGCAGGATGATCAGGCATAATTGCCTACGGCGGGGGAAACCGGCGGTGCTAGTGCCGAGCACCTTTGGCCAGTAACTTGCACCTCCCCCTACCCCCCTCCAACCCCACATTAGCAGTGTCCAATGGCCAATACCATTGCTGCATAGCAACCAATAATATTGACCAAGGTCGTGCCAATGCTGGCTTGGAGGGCCAACGGGTTATCTCTAGCTGATAGAACACCAAGCTTGCCCAGGCACATACGTGAGGCCAATGGGGATTGAACCCACAACCTCCTGAATGCAACTTCTGTGCCTTACCAACTGAGCTAGGCCCCCTGA